CCTCCCGGCTTCAGTGCTTCTTTGTACGTCCTCCCCCCATCACTTTCTACGACCGTGTCGTTTGCTGTGATGTCCGATGGCAGAAGGACCACCTCCAGATCTGCCAACTTTTCGTTTGCCTTCGCCAGCTTGTCGTCCACTGTCTGTCTTTCACTTCTTTCCCTCTCCAGCTCTGCCTCTAACTTCACAATCCTTGCCATCAGCTCTGTGTTCTCTCCTTCCAGCCTGTCCTGTCGTGCGTTTAGGACGCACATTCTACACATGAACTCTGTCATCCCTGCCTCGTCTACGCTATCAAACCTTGTGTCCTCTATGTCCACTGACTTTTTGCAGTCACCACACTGTACGTGTGTTCCCTTCCTCTGCCCGCCAAGTTCTCCCCCGTCCACCCCTTTGTTTTCGCCCTTCTCGTCCCTGAGCCCCTCCTTAGCCTCCTTCATCTCCACCTCCATTCTCTCTCGAGCCTCCCGCTCCTTCCCGAGTTCCCCCCTCATCATCTCCAACATCCCCTTCACCTCATCAGCATTCACGCAGATCCGGCATTGGTACTCTTTGTCCGCTGCTTCCTCCACGCTCCCGAACGGGGTTTCCATGAGGAAGCACCATCGTTCACACTTACCGCATGCCACGTTGGGCACATCCGGTTTGGCCCTGTCTGGCTTGGCCTTGTCCGGTTTTTTTGCCATTCGCGCTCCTTTCCTCCCCAAATACCTCTAAATCCAACTGAAGGAACCGTGTCCCTGTATAATTTCAAATTAACCGACCGAGACAAAGCGCCCGCCAAAGCGCCCGCCAAACAAATTTGAACTACACATGTCCCGACACGTGACCCTACACTACCGCTACAATCGCTTCCCCCTACCCCTACATTCCCACTTCACCTCCCCGATGCTACTGCTCTATTGAATCTACTTTATGCTAAGCCATAAGTAGTGCACTTAAAACCAAACTCAGATACAAAACAACAAATTTTCACTTAGCTTCGAGCTCCGGAATCCGCGTCCGATCCGTCGGGGCGGCCCGAGGCCAATGTTGCCGGACGGAGCTGAAGTTTCGGTTTCGATTTCCGCTCGTGTTTAAAATTAGATTCAAAAATATATATCCCATTTTTCGCGAAGCAAAAGACGTAGTGTCTTTTACTAGGGCTTTTTAATTCGAAATCACTCATTATCCCGAAATCTTCGGAATTGAGCGGAGTTGCCCTTTAAGGTGGCCTTGTTCATTCGCTCTATAAACCCGAGGTTCTCTGGGACGTCAAAGACTGGAGCACTCTCTGGTGGCGTTTGCCATAAAAAGTGTCTATAGCGCATTGGGCAATCGTTGCAGGGGACACCACAGCTTCGTTGACCAACCACCTTCACAGCGTGGACAGAATCTAAAACTTTTTTATACAACCCCAAACATACCTACTATATCACTAGTCATTGGGGATTCCCTGCACGTCATTCGTTGAGTGATCATAAAATACGCACAGAAAAATTTGGAACACCATGACGTTGCGCTTTGACGCTGTTTGATGGATCCTACCGACTCGTAGCGTCGGCTGCATCCGGTGAAACAAAGTGTTTGTTGCAGGATTTCTTTTTAATTTTCTTCCTTTTTCCTTATGCCCCCCCCCCCCAAACAAAACAACGAAAAAAGGAAGTTTTGCGTTAATGTACAGTAAGTTAATGCACAGGACAGGAAGTTGTGGCCAGTATTTCAGGAAGAACCGACTATCGGCAAACTTCTGTCGTGGTAAGCGTGAAATCTCTCTATTATTTTTAGGCGTTTAAATTCTACTTCCTATATTCCTCTTATGATTCTTTCGGAGCAAAATACAATCATATATTGGTTCAGAACAACGCCCCTAGCAACGATCGAATTTGTTTGGATCAGTGACTTCACACTTCCAGGGTCAATTATGTCGGGGTTTTTATGGTAAATACAAAGTTTGCGCAAACGTCGTCGCAAAAAGAGCGCCATTCGAAAGTGGCAATCTTCGCCGTCCATGGAGGCGTTGACGCCGCTGGCGCTAGGAACGGGTGCGGTGCACGAAATAACATAATCCCGAAATCCTGGTGTCAAAATCCTTGTTGCAACTCCCCGGCGTTATCTTCTTCATCTCCAAAATCCCCGGCTTTCAGAAACCACGCACACGCAACCCCCGGCTTCCCCCGCTCCCCCCCCCCCCCCCCCCCCCCCCCCCCCCCCCAGTCACGTTATCCCTTCACTTTGTCCGGCCAAGTCCAGAACACTGCGTCCCTATTGTATTGTTTGAACACTGAAGTCAAAGAGTTTGACGCACGACTTTAATTTCTACAATAAGAAGTAAAGTTGTGCTTTTTTTTTAGCATAGTTTGAGAAAGCGTGAAAAAGCGGAGGACTAGAAGATGGAGTACACAAACACACAGGTGACTGGCAGTTCAAAATTTTACTTCTGCACGAAACAAAAAGTAAACAAGAGAAGGGAAAAATAGAAACAAAACAATCAACCCGATGAAACACCCATATGCCGACTAGGGCTGGGCGTCGATTAAAATTCTTAACTTGATTAATCGCAAATTTTAGTTGATTAATTAATCGATTAATCGGGTTCGTTAATTTCCACGCATGTTAATTTAAAAAAAAAAGTCAAAATACTTTTTTTTTTTGTCTTTGCTGAATATAGGATAAACGGCAAAATGTAGTGCAATTTCAGACTTTAAATCAACTTTGATGTGTAGCTGAGAACAGTCAAAAGACACCCACTCACAAATTATCACTTCAGCGGCAGAAGAAATTGATGATATTCTCCGCAATAGAGAACTCGTAGTCTCTGTTGTGCTCGGCGGACACTCGCATGGCGTTGAAGTGGCTGGGTCACGTAGAACCTTCTCCAATTGTTCGGAGTTACAAATATCGCCCCAGTTTGCTTAAGGTCAAAATTTCAGCTAAAGTTTGCCTACAGGTGTGTTCATCCACGCCTGTTTGGTAAAAGCGCTCAATTTTAATTATTTTTGTTTGTCAAACTTTATTCGATTAACCGGGTAAAAAATTAATCGCGTTAAAGCAGTAATCGATCGATCGGCAGGTTAATCGATGAAGTGCCCAGTGACACGTGCCTACACAAACTCGCCGCACCTCTTTATAAAATCTACCTCGTCACCCGCCAAGGTCACCGACGAGGCGTTAACACAGATGTCCTCTTCATAACTGACAACTGCTAACTGCGCTGTGGCATTACGCAATGCAAGCATGACGCTTTGCATGGCGTAATGCCCCAGCGCAGAGTTCATTTTAGGTCTAAACAGATGTTCCGCCTCATCATTCGCTCAACTGATTTCCTAT